TTTATACATATGTTAAAAAGCAGAAACTTCAACGAACATGAAATCAACAATAAACTACGTCTATTTATCCAACATGTTATACATACTGTATTTAAAAACTTTTCAGCTGTATGATTTCAGGACAGACCAGTCACTCTGTTAGGAACATTACGAATTTTTGGTTGCGGGTTTTAGCTTCGCTGCTGCTATTAACACTAATGGCACATCAGCGCAGACAAAGGGCTGCATGAGCCGAACTACGTCTAGCTTGGCGGTTAGAGGTGTTTGACATTCATTGGCGTGGGAAACGGTGGTTCTACTGCTAAACCACTACCGAAAAGACCACAAAAGCTGCGTCGGATAAAATAGAAGCGTCAGGTTTTAAATAATAACAATGTTTTGGCTATCGATCCGGGTCCGTATAGGACAGCTTCTGGGTCCGGACCCGGACCGCGGTCCGCCTGTTAGTGACCTCTGCCCTAGGGGTCATCAAGCTCAAAGGCCCTGAGGGCGCAGCAGAGCCAGTCAGAGCACAGCAAGACGGTGACTCCCCAGTGATGATGTTTACCCTAGGGGTCAGCAATCTCAAAGGCCCTGAGGGCACAGCAGAGCCAGTCAGAGCACAGCCAGTATCCATGAACGTCCATAAGTCCAAAAAAGGAGGCTGTTCATCCATGTGCTTTCACGGACTACTGCCCAATTTTGAGGAAGACTAGTTCCTACAGTACCCATGGATTTGTCCAGTCTGGTGTCTCAGTGGGAAATGGTGTGAGGGACAGATTTAAAATTAGCCAAATGGCCAATGAAAAAAGAGCTTTTTATTAGGTTCTCTCTGCATCAATATTGAGGAATCATCAGTCATGAAAGGAGGGGCAAAATATCTACTGCAAGTACATAGAAATGCGTTAGAAATAGGCCACTAAGCATGAGAGGAAGTCCTGTTCTTAGAGGAAGTCCTGTTCTTTTGGGGGCAGAATCATTTCAGAAGGAGGTGATATGTGCAGTAGTCAGTCACATGTATGGCAACATTTCCATTTTATCAAGAAAAAGCACGTAAAAGGTAAATCAGCTGGACATTATTATTTCAGTGTGCTGGAGAGATAAAGAAACAGACCATATTTCTGCTGAACTATTTGTCTTTCCAATAATTCAGTCTTAGGTTTATTCAAAGCCAAAATAAATATTAAAATTACAAGAATTAACCTATCAACAAAGAGCAGTAAAATCACAACAATATTGAATGCCTTCAGATAATCACATGAAGAACACTGTCTGACTGCATGCCAAAGGCTTGACGTACACAACAACAATTGCTTTTTAAACAAATACATTTAGACAAATTATAAACAAATAATAGCTTAAATTATTTCTGGTAAGCATTTTCAAGCAGTTGAGAAGATTCATATTATTTAGTAGTCTTTTCCCCTTAACATACATTGCTTTAACAACTGTTTGGTATTTCAAAAATGCTTCAATTGTGAATTTAAGACCAAGTATGATCAGGACTACGACTCATAGGACTCATTCAGAGAGGATTAAGTCAGACAGGGTTAATTTAAATATCCAAACTGAATGTGCCTCATGATATATAATTCTTTGTTAAATCTTTTTTTGCAAGTGATGCCTTCTGTTTTTCATGATTTGAAGAGCTAAGCCTACTTAAAAATGTTACCACAAATACAAATTACTACAACTTTTTAACAAGTAACCCAACATAAATGCTTTGTGTTTTAATACAAATTTGCATGCATAAATAGTGTGGGCAGGTTAGTTAGACTCTTCAATGGGACAGTGAGTGAGGTCAACCTTCAGCCTACTTTTCTGACGCAGTTTTTTAACAAACAGCACGCAGATATTTTTTTTAACTCCTCATATGGTACACAAAGGTCCCTATGTATGTAATGATGGTGATACGTGACCAGAGCTCACTGTAAGTTTATGAAATACTGTTGTAGATGGTTTCAGATGCTTCATGACATATTTTTAATTCATTTTCAAATCCAGCCCACCGATCATTTTCCATAGAAACTAAAAAAACGATGACCAGCACCGCTAATCAGAACCCCCACCTCCCATCTGCAAGTTCTTACGCTGTTTTTAGAGTGGACTATCTGTATATCGTTTATCCCCACTTGGTGCCCTGCTTAGTGCCCCACTTGGTGCCCTACTTAGTGCCCCATTTGCTGCCCTGCTTAGTGCCCCACTTAGTGCCCTGCTTGGTGCTGCATGTGTATGTGCTTTGTATCACTCCGCTTATGCCCCCTGCTGCCCAGTGCTCATTTCCCCTCTATTGCTCATTTCTGTCGTGATAAATTTGATCTCAGCATTGGCAGTCCCTGAACTCACGCTGCTGTCTCTCACTTTGCGTCTGAAGAGGAACGGAAAGGCCTTTTTGAAGGATTTGCGGAAGCCAGCACCCATGAACCCGTATACAATGGGATTGATGGAGGAGTTGGCGTAAGACATGCAGTTGGCCCAGGTTTTTATTTTGTAGGTAGCATAGTTGGGTTTATAGTTTGGGTAGAAAGACTGGAAGAGGATGAAGAGCTGGATTGGGCCCCAGCAGACTGTGAATAGTAAGACAATGACTACAACCATCCTGGAGACCTTACTCCTGATAGCAACTGTCCTCTCTGATACCAAGTGGACCTGTAATACAACATTTTTCATTTGAGTTTGATAAACTCAGCTCTTAAGTATGGTAATTAATTAACACATACCCTTTTCCTTTTTATTCTCTTTAATAAAACGTACCCTCACTTTGTGCTCATCCATAACATCGATCCATACTCCATGCACAATAATTATATATATTACCCCAAGTTCATTAATATTATATATATCCTTGCCCCATGCTAATAATATATACCACCACCCCATGCTCCTTAATAATATTTACCTGTCACGCTCATTTGTTAACTGCATTCTGTTCTTACCAGAGAGTTGTTATCAACAGGCTCCACAGCAGGCTGACCAACTCGCTTGAGTATTAATGCGTAGCAGAATGAGATGGTGAATACAGGCAGCAGGTAGACGGCTATGAACTGGTACAGTATGAAGGCCTTCTCCAGGCTCTTGGAGGGGAACTTCTCAGTGCAGTAGTGTCTGGGGCCGTACCAGTAACCCTCCTCAACCTTCTGATACATGAATATGGGAGTGGAAACAATGAAGGACCCTACAAAACAGTGAAAGACAAGACCCTGACACATTTCACAGAAGTTCCAGTCAGAATGATTTCATTTACTGCATTTAAATCACGCCTTTGAAAACATTTCATAGCAATATCTTTTTTTTTTTATAAACATTGTTCAATAAAATCGTTTTTTCTTTTGTGGAAATGAACTCTGAAAAGGCAGAATCACCTTGAGTCACTTACCGATCCAGATGCACGTGCTCACAGCCATGGCCACACGAGGTGTGCGATGGCGCAGTGATTTGAGTGGACACACGGTGGCATAACATCTGTCCCCACTCATAGCTGTGAGGGTGATGCAGGTGGCCTGAACAGTGACCTGTACCAGGAGAAGCCACTGCTTAATCACTGCTGTGTTTAAACAGGCACATGCACAACACAAAAATACGGCATCATTGCATTTACATGGGAGCTCTGTGATTCTTCATGATATTCAGCTTTGCTCAATATTAACTCCATAAGTCATGATGAATAGTGTTTACTTAATCCCATATTTCACAGAAATGTTTTCATTTTTGTCCATCTAATAAAAAATACATTCAATCATCTGAAAAAAGTCAGATGTGAACATGAGCAGGCAACAAATCAGCTAAACTGAGTGCGTAAATGCTGGATTTAGTTTAGGAATTTATGGCTAAAGTGACCTATATTTAATGCAAATCTCTGATTGAAAATATTTATTAAATTAAATATTTTATGTAACTATAAACATACGTGGAAAAAATATATATATATAGATAAATATTTAGTCAAATGTTTAGTCTACATGTGTAACTATTCATTTAAAAATAACTTTAAATTACTTTAAATCATAAATATTGACAATAAGTGAAATATTTAGGTAAAAATCAAGTTTTGTTTAAATGCCCAGCCCTACATGCCTTGTCCCTTTTGGCCAGCAGATGTCACTGGTCACCTTACTTCACCCCTCTGTTTTGTACCTCTATTCCCTGGTGTGTTTCCCTGTTCCCTGGGCTGCTGCATAGCTCAGTGGGTTGAGTGTGTGGCTCAGGCTGAAAGCTTGTAGTCATGGGTGTGCAGCAGGCCAGAGACCAGCCTCACCAGCTTTCCCTAGTATTTATCAGTTATCTTTGCTTCGCTGTTTTGGTTTGCCCTGCTTGTGTCCCGTTTGATTTTGGTTTTGCTTGTTTTTGTCCTTAGTCTTTCAACCCTCTGGGTTATGTTCCCTAGTTTCTGGTGCTGTGTGGTTAAGTGTTTGGTGTTTCTTATAGTTCAATATTTCTGTGCTCATTTATTGTAGTTTACCTCACCTGTTGCCTGTTGTCCTGCTTGTTGATTGGTTGTTATTGTGATGGTCCACACCTGCTCTTTCTTAGTCCTCGTTATCTATGTATTTAAGTGCTTGCCCTCTTTCAGTTCCTTGCTGCATCATTGCATGTGTTAGGTGTAGTAATGTTTGACTTCTGTTCCTGTTACTGTGTGTTTGTTACCTACCTTGTTTCTCCTAGCCCTACTCCTAGTGTTGCCTGGTATCCCTAGTGTGCCTATTTATAGATTCCCATTTAGTTCTGAACCCTCATGTTACCTATTTTGTGGCTTGTCCCTGTGTATCCTTTCCTAGTTAATAAACCCTATTCTCTCGGAGCCACTCACCTGTGTGATGTCCTGCCATAACAAAAAGCTATATCTAAAATTTTAAGCTAAATATTTTATTCAGATATAAATATTAAGCTTACACATGCGTTTTTTCCCTATTGCAATGAACAGATTAATTAAATAAATATAATAAAGTATTTCATTGTAATTTAGATTGAGCATCAATATTTATTTATAAACTTGTCTATGTAGATATAAGCTAAATATTGTAGTGCCAGTGGGATTTGCATGTCAAGGCATGCTTGCAGGTCATGCATATAGCCCCTGTGTGTTTCGTTGTAAGTCATGGTATGTATTTGTTAATGTAAATACTTGTGTGTTTCTGAGTATCGTTTGTACCCTTGCCTGTATTATATGTGTAATCCTGACCTGTGTTGTATGTGTAATCCTGACCTGTGCTGTATGTGTGATCCTGACCTGTGTTGTATGTGTGATCCTGACCTGTGCTGTATGTGTAATCCTGACCTGTGTTGTATGTGTAATCCTGACCTGTGCTGTATGTGTAATCCTGACCTGTGTTGTATGTGTAATCCTGACCTGTGTTGTATGTGTAATCCTGACCTGTGCTGTATGTGTGATCCTGACCTGTGCTGTATGTGTAATCCTGACCTGTGTTGTATGTGTGATCCTGACCTGTGTTGTATGTGTGATCCTGATCTGTGCTGTATGTGTAATCCTGACCTGTGTTGTATGTGTAATCCTGACCTGTGCTGTATGTGTAATCCTGACCTGTGTTGTATGTGTGATCCTGACCTGTGCTGTATGTGTGATCCTGACCTTTGTTGTATGTGATCCTGACCTGTGCTGTATATGTAATCTTGACCTGTGTTATATGTGTAATTCTGACCTGTGTTGTATGTGTAATCCTGACATATAGTGTTGTATAATGACCTACTGTGTGTGAGCCTTCCAATCCAGTGTGTACCCTTCCACACGTTTTCCTGCTGTCTTGGTCTCTGTGTTTTTGTGGTTGCTTGAGTGCGGTCCTTTTAAGGATTCTAATATAGAGCAAATTCACCTAAAACCATCTCGCCTTTTCTCTTCTCTGCGATGCCTTGGTCTGCCCCACGCAACAATATTTATTATAGATATTGGTCATTTTGGTTCGGATTTATGACTTAATACAAATGTTTAATAATATTCCATATAACTTAAAGAGTAATTAGATTTAGACATGAACAAAATATTAAATAAATTTTTATTATTTATTTTGTAATAAATATCATCTATCAATATCATTTGTTTATTTAGTACTAAACTCCTGCCTATTGCTTTGACTACAGCAGCTGAGTGATTCATTTATTTTGACTGGAATAGGAGAATGACTCCTTCTCCACCAAGGACAGCATCTTCATTCTTAATATTCTAAATATTGTTCATACAGCAAGAAATCTTCTCAGAGGATGTTTACCCAATCATATACGTACTGTATATAGTATTTATGGTATCACACTTATATGCAGAAAGCAAAATAACAGATTTCAAGTATAATAATGTTGCTTTTAAAATTACCTGCTGAAGGAAAGCAACAAATTTGCACATGAAGCTTCCAAAGATCCAGCTGGGCAGTGGGTAGAGGGCGGCAGTGAAGGGCACACAGCACACGAGGAAGAGGATGTCTGTGAGGGCCAGGTTAGCTGGGGGAACATAAAGGGTTCACAGTCAGGCATAGCACAGGCAGAGAAGCGCATATGTGGCCTCCGAACACCAGGGGCAGCAAGTACAGGGTGGCAGTGAAGGGCACACAGCAGACAAGGAAGAGGATGTCTTGAAGGCCAGGTTAGCTGGGGGAACGTCACAGGGTCACAGTCAGGCATGGAGCAGGCAGAGAAGTGCATGTGTGGCCTCCGAACACCAGGGGGCAGCGGGTAGAGGGCAGCAGTGAAGGGCTATCAGCTATTCTGTGTGTACCAGCCTGTGGCCCACAGTCCTGTATTAAACCACACCAAGCACTAATAATAGTAATAGAAATTTGGATTTTACAATTTAATGCCACAAGAGGGCGCATTGCTATGAATGTTATACCATTTTGATTTTAGATATTAATTCTAAAAGCATATAAGATGTAAAAATGTAAATACTGTTTATTTGATTGTGTTCCTGGCATCATTTGGAATTGCAGTCACAGTAAATTTCTAATTTAACATGCAAGATAAGGCATCTTCATAACTTTTTTCCTGTCAAGAAATTTAAGTCAAATCAAAGAATTGAATAAAGTAGAATTCACCTCAATACGCAAATAAAATCAACAGCAGCTGTGTGGATAATTATAGGAGTTGTATCAATCTCATAATATCATTAGATTTAAGCCAAACACATAATACTGCGACTGAGCATGCATTATGACTGAAAGCATGGCCACATACAGGCTCGTTTAAGAACGCAGGACAGGGCTGTGACCCAGACTGACAGGCAGACTCACCGATGTAGAAGTTGGTGGCAGTCCTCATCTGTCGGTGTTTAGAGACCACGTAGATGACCAGTGAATTTCCCAGCAAACCCAGAAGCATGATGAGGGTGAAAAACAGAGGCACCAACCAAGCATCAGTCAGGAAGGGGTGCGCACCCTCCTTAGGGTGCTCCAGCGAGATGTTCCCCTCTGATGTGTTGAGGAGCAACTCAGTGGAGTTCCACATGCCGTTGGGAGGCAAGGATGCCATTGGAGTGTGATATTCCCAACTATAATGGTGGCTAGTGGCAGAATGTGCGTGTGTGTGTGTGGTGCCCTTCTGTCGCAGTACAAGCAGTGCCCCGAGTCCAAACTGTAACGTTTCACCCAACAAGCTCGCTATCGTCTCCTCAGAGCCCCGTTGCCTTCACAGCCGCACAGCACGCACGTGGGCTCGGCGCACACAGAATAGCTGATGTCAGGTCTCCTAGCAACATCCAGCCCAGTTCTGCGTTTCACCCTTTATGCTGGGAAAGGAGCGTGTGCAATTATGTGAGGTATTAATGTCTATATGGCTTGGAGCAATGCTTTACTTGATAGTAAATGTCTGAATCCAATTGCTGTGTGTTTTCTTTGCACAGGTAACATGTGACTTTAGCTTCCTTTAATTACTTAATTTTTAAACCACATAATTGCATTATATTTCAGTCATTATATTTGCAATGCCCTGACAAAGATAAGATGACAAACTGATATTTTATAGACTTTGCTAATGAAGTCACGTGTCAATAGATCTACAGCAGCATCGGGCAAATGTTCACTGGAGAAAAGATAGACAAACAGGATGAGTTTTACTACTGCCTTTGTGCAGCACATTTATTCCGGACACTTGAAACTTGTAATCTTTTAGAGCGACATTTTCTGAAGGAGATGTTTTTCATGGTGAGACATTTTCACTGAGAGGTATGGGGGTCATTATCTAATGGATGCTGAAAAGCTGCTACAAGCTCAGGCTGCAATATGACGCACATGTCATGTGTACTTAAGCAGATCAAAGGGAGAAAGTCTAAGGGGTGAAACAATGCATCCACTTTTTTATCCATCAAGGATAAGGAAAAAAACAGTGTTTTATGCTGCTTTATGCTGGAAGTTCCCAGCAGAAGAGACTCCTTTAAACTGTGTGTCTAACTGACAAATCACTTTGTATGTTTGAGCAGCAAGTGAGTCACTGGCAGGGATGACACTGTCACATGTGTCTGGATTTTTAATATGGAGTCAGGATGGGCGATACTGGGGGGTGCGGGGGGGTCAACAGGGCTGACCTTATATAATATACTCTGATCAGCCATAACGCCATAAAACTGCCAACAGGTGACATGAGTAACACTGATTATCTCATTACAATTGTACATGTAAAGGGTGCAATTATGTATTAGGCAAGTGAACAGTCAGTTCTTGAAGATGATGTGTTTGAAGCAGGAAAAATGGGCAATTGTAAGGATCTGAGCGACTTTCACAAGGTTCCCAGTATGTGACCAGTACCTACCAAATGTGGTCCAAGGAAGGCCAACAACGGGGTCATGGGCGCCCAAGGCTCATTGATGCACATGGGGAGCAAAGGCCAGTCGGTCTGGTCTGATCCCACAGGAGAGCTGCTGTAACACAGATTGCTGAAAAGTGAATGCTGGCTATGATAGAAACGTGTCAGAACACGCAGTGCTTGCTGTATATGGGACTGCATAGCCATAGACCAGTCAGAGTGCCCATGCTGAGTGTCAGAACTGAACCATGGAGCAATGGAAGAAGGTAGGCTGGTCTGACGAGTCATGTTTTCTGTTACATCATGTGGACAGTTGGGTATGAGTGCGTTGTTTACATCTGGAAGAGATGGCACTAGGAAGAAGCACTACAGGAAGAAGGCAAGTCGGCGGAGGCAGTGTGATGCTCTGGGCAATGTTCTGCTGGGAAACCCCTGGTCCTAGCATTCATGTGGGTGTTACTTTGACATGTACCCCATACCTAAATTTTGTTGCAGACCAAGTACACCCCTTCATGGCAATGGTATTTCCCAATAGCAGTGACTTCGTTCAGTAGGATAATGTGCCCTGCCACACTGTGCACACACTGCAGAAAGGTTTGAGGAACATGCAAAAGAGTTCAAGGTGCTGACTTGGCCTCCAAATTCCCCAGAACTCAATCCAATCGAGCACCTGTGGGATGTGCTGGACAAACAAGTCCGATCCATGGAGGCCCCCCCTCGCAGCTTACAGGGCTTACAGGATCTGCTGCTAACTTCTTGGTGCCAGATACCACAGGAGACCTTCAGTGGTCTTGTGGAGTCCATGCCTCGAAGTGTCAGAGCTGTTTTGGCAGCAAGAGAGGAACCGGCACAATATTAGGCGGGTGGTTTTAATGTTACGGCTGATCAGTGTATGACGTAATAATGTAAACCCGGCATGCTGGTGGTCAACTAGGACACAATAGAAAACTGTCATTAATCTGCATGAAGTCAGGCAGGGAGTTATAACTATCATATACTATTGCGTAAATAACTGAAAGAACTGATTATAATACAGTCACTTCAGGATAAAGTACCAGGTAACACCATTAATATTGTATTAAAGGTGATCAGTGTCTGTGTCCTTTGCAAGTGTCAAATTGTGATGTAATCACTAAAATTCATTGAGCTTTACAGATGGATCTGAAAAGGTTAGAAGACTGAGAAAATATACTCAAGAGCTACAGTACGTAAAAGTGACAAAGGGCAGGATTGTGTTCTAGATGATGAACAGATGTCACTAGCATATTCTAATCAGAATCAGAATCTTTATTATCATTGTACAAGTACAACAAAATTGGGTGCAAAGTGATTTTAGGAGAAAAAAATGAAAAATAAACCTGAATTTCTAATACAATATAAAAGAAATAAATAAACATAAACATATTTCTATAGTGCATATCTCACAACTGTGACGCTTGCTAGAAGTATCTGTAGTCCATATTGCACATGGAGATGAGGTATTGTATATGTAAAGACAGACATACAGTGGGGGCTCAGTATTGAACAGAGTACCAAAGTTGCACAGTGAGAGATTGGATGATCATTCATTTCAGTTTGTTGTTTATTTTTTTTATTTTTTCTTTATTTATTTTTTTTATGTGTCCTGTCCGGCAGCTTTCACAAGCAGAATAATGGTCTGAATGCACTGCTGTGTCAGACATATTTGCTTTACCATGAGGGGCTCTATAAACTCTGTATAGGCCCTTCATGTTGGTCAATTTCTTTTTATTTGTATATTTATTGTATTTTATTTAATACATGTAAAATATTCCAGTTGCTGTGCTGCCCGGAAGGGAGTGATAGATTAGGAAAATGATTGAAGAAAAGGGGTAGGGAGAGAGATTAAAGAGAAGGAAGGAAAGAGAGAGAGAGTGAAAAAAATTGAACAAAGGCGGAGACAACAGTGGGACAGACTGGGACAAAAGTTTGTTGTTTATAATAGTGATGGCCTTGGGATATATACTGTTTTTCAGTCTGTTTGCATGAGCTGTCATTGCTGAGGGCAGAATTCAAACAGGTGAGGTGCTGGGTGTGATGTGTCCTCCAGGATGCTGCTGGCTTTTCTGTAACTGCGGGACCTGTAGAGCTCCTCTAAGGACAGGAGAGCTCAGCCAGTGATTTTCTGGGCTGAGTTAATAACCCCCTGCAATGCAGTTTTTTGTCCTGCAGTGCAACTGGCAAACCACACAGGAATGCAGTATGTCAGTACACTTTCTAAGGATCACCTGTAGAAGGACACCCACAACCTCTCGCCTACGTTGTTCTTTTTGAAGATCCTCAGGATATACAGTTCTACTCAAGATCATGTAATATTGACTGTCGCTGAGGAACATTGTGCTACTGGTATCTATGGCACGTTGGAGATTCTTTATCCCAGAAACCATTAATTGAAGTTTATTTTTTCTGACATAAACCCAGAACAAGCCTGCCTCAACATTACTACTGTTAGGTGCTTGTAAAAGTCATCTACTTTCATAATAAAATCTGTGCAGAAATCTAGAACTAATTTATGAAGATCGTTTTGTGGCTTCTGGGACAATTGTTCTTGATAACGACTGTCAGCCTTTATCGTTTCAGGTCAGGTGGTCTGCATCATAAAAATAAAAATATTCTACTCAGCAGCCTAGGAGACAATTCAGAGTCAAAAGTATTCCTCAAAGTATTTCCTCAAAAGATAAGAGATGGAAAAGTCTGATCTGCTTCCCAGAACATGTGAGGCAGAAGAATCACAGCAGCGTGAGCAGCTGCCATTTAGTGAAGGACAGAAGGAAATTGAGAAGCTGAGGGTGAGAGTAGCACTCTGCCAGGGAATGAGGCAGGGGCCAGAGTCACTCAGAAAACACCTGCTTTAATGCATTCAGAACATGCACAGCATGACAGACTCTGGTACTGAATGACCGTGGGTGTGTGTACGTTAATGGATCGGCATCCTGTCCATGGTGTTCCTTGTATGTGTACGGTGATGGATCAGTGTCCTGTCCATGCTGTTCCTTGTATGTAGGTGTGTGTATGGTGATGGATTGGCATCCCATCCATGCTGTTCTTTGTATGTGGGTGTGTGTAAATGGTAGATGGACTGCATTTATATAGCGCTTTTCTACTCCTACGAGTACTCAAAGCGCTTTACAATTCATGCCTCACATTCACCCATCCACACTCACATTCACACACCGGTGGCAAAGGCTGCCATGCAAGGCGCCAACCTGCACACCGGGAGCAATTTGGGGTTCAGTGTCTTACTCAAGGACACTTTGATGGGATCAGGAGGAACCAGGGCTCGAACCTGCAACCCTCAAGTTACCGAACGATAGCAATACCACCTGTGCCACTATCTTCATTGTACAACAATGGATTGGTGCAAGTGATGGATAGATTTTAAATGATTCAAATATCTAAAATCCTATATGCAGCGATAAGTAATATACCCTTCTACATGCATTTCCTCATGCAACAGTGAGAGAGATTTATGGGAAAATGCACAGGAGCCAGGGAGAGGTTAGTGTCTGAGCTTGCAGGACTGTGATGTAGCTTTTCTTCAGCTCTGCAGAGTAATGTGTTTGATCAGTAATCAAACCGTTTGTGTGTATAGGCAGAACCCCCACGGATCCCCTGGCAAAGCACGATGCTGCGGTCGGTGGCCATTTGGATTCCGGAGGCAGGAAGGCCTCAGCGTTTCTCCAGAAATGGAGGCATCATGTGTCAAGGCAGGACCATCGCTAACATGAAGGGAGCTTTGCTGCCTCATCGCAACTTACCGTGACATGCTGCTAAACGATAAACCAGAAAATATAATGAAACGCTTTCATGATTTCTCTTTCAGGTATTTACTTCAGCTTCCTCCCC